CCTAATAATTCTGCACTCCCTGTATTAAATTATGCTCTTTGTCTTCTCCAGGTACTCCCACAGAAGAGACTTGGCCTGGTATCACCACCAGTGAAGAGTTTAAGACATACAATTTTCCCCGCTACCACGCAGAGCCCCTTGTGAACCACGCACCCAGGTATAAAGATCTAGTGGAGGCCTGCATGTGCAGATTAAGATTCATTTTCTGGAGGAAAACGTAATGACCATTTGGAAACAGTGGGAACACCAGATTCCTGCGCAGCTTTTGATCTCGCTGCCACTCCTCTCGGTTCTTTCCATCCGCTCTTAATTTTTTTCTCTGCTTTCTGTCACACAGGATAGACAATGAAGGTCATGACTTGCTCTCAAAACTCTTACAGGTAAAGAACATAATTAATTACAATTATCTGCTGTTTACAGATCATGTACACCATAATGATTTTGTCTTTATGTGTCCCTAGTTTGAAGCAAAGAAGCGGATATTGGCTGAGGATGCTCTCAAACACTCTTATTTCAAATGTCTTGGAGAACAGGTTCAGACTCTGGCTGACAGTGAGTACATGCATTTGACTTGAATATCCACATTAATTGCACAAACACTGTCCCACATAACCTTTGTTGCTTGTTTTTCTTTTGTTTTTCTTTTTTAGCTGCATCCATCTTCTCTGTAAAAGGGATTCAACTCCAGAAAGATCCCGGAAAGAGATCCTCAGTCTACCCAGAGTCATGTAAGTGCTCAAGATTTAAAAAGAAAAAGAAGGAAGGGATGAAATGAGAGAAATCAGGAATCCTCGATAAAAGTATGATACAGGATAGGACTTGCTCCCTGTCTTCCTCCTCTTCTCGCTCTTCCTCTAAGTGTTTGCTTTTTGTCGTTTCTCATGCCACTGTGTGGTCTATTACCAGGTTCAGCCTTCACCACACACAGATCCCCCAGTTCCAGTATTAACATCGCACAATGCCATTCACTCAGAAGCAATATTAAATTCACGAATAGTGGAAGCAAATAGCACAATCTAGTTTTATCTGTGACTGACATAAAGACTTCACATCACTGTGATCTGGTTGCCATGCTAGCGTTAGCATTTAAGTCAGCTTCAAGTACAGCAGTACAGCAACGTGAATGTGGCCTTAGATCCATTTTAGAGTATGTTTAGCTTTCCTGAAGTCCCGTCACATGTAAACAAACCAGTCCACCAAACCTTGTATACATGGCTGCTGAAATGCAGCTGGGGAGAGTTGACTTTGTCTGAGTCTCTGTACATTAACCCTAACCCTTCAACATTTGCTTCGATTTGTTTCACAGTTTCTGTCCTTATCACAGTCTGTGTGTGTGTATCTTTGTTTTTCTGCTTGTGTTGCCTCGCTGTCATGTTCTGATAAACTGTCCCTTCTCTTTGGTGCCCATGCTCTCTTCTTCTGCACTGCTCATCTTTTCCTTAATCCTTTCTCTAATCTCCCTTGTGTACCCTACTCCAACTCTTCCGTAACACCTCAATATTCCCAACCTCCCCCCCTTCTCCCTAACCCAAAAAAGCGATGGCCAATAAGCTAGGCTCCGCACCCTCGCAGTACTTCCAGAGAGAGGCAGCCAATCCCAGGGCTCAGAGTCACAATCTCTCCTCTACTTCCACTGGCTGAGTGGCCCTACTGTTCTGGTAAATACAGTCTCTTTCATGTGTCAGTAATCTCGCTCTCGCTTTCTTTTTTTTGTTTGGCTGCCACCGGGCCTTTTTTTCTTCTTCTCTGTCAGCACCGCTCCTTTGCTGCAAACACCACTTTATATAAGACCATTCCTGAATTGCATTTAATTATATCCATCTTCCCTCCCTGCACCCTGTCAACTAAAACAACATATTATTTATTAGCTGTTTCTTCATGTCTGTGTTTTGTTGGTTCCTCTTCATATTCAAGCCTGTTCCCACAAGCATTCTTCAGATTTCACTTCACTAATCCCCTTTTTTTTCTCAGAGCAAGCCACTCCTAATATTCATGTGAGGGAATCAAAGGGGCAACAGTTTGTTCATAAGAGCAAAGAATGTGATCTGAGGACAGGGGGTCATTAGATTTTTTTGTTTTTTTCCAGTCCTGTTTAGATTTCTGCAGCGAGAGATGTAGCGTCTGTAAGTGAGGCTTTTGTGCTGTGGGTTTGTTTGACTTTTGTGTGCAAAAGTCTTTTTAAATTAGCATGGATTTGAGTGCTTTACTGTGCTGTATGTTATACTTTTGGTAAGTGTGATTTAGCTTAAGCAGCATTACGCAAACTGCTCTTTTTAATTTCATTATATTTCTTCAAATTTCCAGTAGAGAAGTGTCATTAGCAGCAACTATGTGCCCTATGTACACAAAGCAAGGTCAATGAAGATGGGTTTGTCACATTGAGCCAGGCATTTCCAGCACACATACACCCTCACTGAACCTAACAGGATTCACATCAAGCCCCTAGAAAACTTGTCAGTCGAGTGGTCAATGCAGAGAAAATGACTGGATGATTGGTAGGTTTGCAATCTAGTAAAATATTAATGTTTATCAACTAGTGATTGAAAGGTGTAACACAGATACTGTTCACTGTTTTGTGATGTTTTCTAGACTGATTGACTAGTTGGTTAAGTTTAAGTTGTGTGATTAATCACACTGAAACAAATTGCTGCAGCATTCATGAAAGTGTGTCCAGTGTTTCTGGACCCAACTGAATTTATTGTGTCGCTGGCATGGAATGAAATTTACAATGTTTGAGTGTCCAAATCACATCCAAATGTTTGTTTGTTTATTTGTTTTTCACATCGTTCCCTCTCTCTCTCCCCTGTCTTCTTCTGTCTCTCTCTCAGCCCAAGGGAAGAGCAGGAGGCAGAGTGTGCTGTTTTAGTGCCGGCGATGAGATGAGGAGGACAGTGACACGTGGAGCTTGTCTGTCAGACATACATCCACTGACCCTGCCGCCTACACACTGAAGGAGTGACACACACGCACCCTGCCACATAAATACATACTGACAGGAAAAAAAAGACACACACAGACACACACACACTGCAAAATGACAACAAACCCACACAAAACTAAGGCTGAAGATTTCATTCTTAAAAATAAAGACTCAGCTCGAACCCAAACATAAAAAAGAGAAAAAAAATGTGTGTGATGCTGGAAGAAAAGTCGGAGAGTATATGAATCTCCTTGCTGCTGCTACTACTGCTGCCCAGTATGGGGCAGTGTTCAGGATGTGAGCTGGTTTTAAAACAGACCTTGCTGTTTGAGGACGAAGGAGTCTCGAATGGACTTGAATGAAAAGAAAGAGAAAGCTGGAACCCCGACTTTCTCTTCCATGGTTTTTTCTTTCAGACTATTGCTGTATATAAAGAGACTGAGCTGTAGAACTAGAAGCTTTTTCATGCCGCACCTCAGCCTGAATCCAAACTCTAAATATTGCACCTCAACTCTAAACCCTCGCCTGATCTCTCAGCCCTTTATTACATAACCCTTAAATGCAACCAGTCTCTGCTTTTCTGTCATTGTCCGTCTTTCTCTTTTCTCTTAAAAACACACTCACGTGCTGATGCTCACTTGAAAGTGTGTAGATCTTTGGAGTTTACAGAGGTAGATTTTTGCACCTTATTGTTCATTAGCGGTCCGGGTGGCTGTCATTATGATACCTCATCAAGTACACACCAGTGATATTGAAATGAAGAAGACCCAAACAGATAAACCAAAAAAACAACAAAAAAAACCAGTTTCACCACCCATGGACAGATATATTGCACAAATCATTACTGCAGTTAAAAACACTCAGCAATCCACATACTAGTAGTAGACATGAATTATATTTGTCACGTTCTTATATGCTGTAAAGAACACTACGCTACAAGATGCTCCTGTTTCTATACACGAGGAAGTTATCGTTGAAGGACAGAGAGGTAAAAGTGTACAAATCCTAACCTGCTTATTATTAGACACCTCCCTCCTCTTTTGCCTTGACTCAGAAGTTGTCCGGATTTGTTGTCTGATGTGCAGGTATTAATGTTGAGCTCTTCTACAAGATGTGATCAAAAAGTCCTGAGGACATGTCCATAAAAACCCAAAGAGGGCCAATCTCGCGTTGGACCGCTTTCAGCGCAGTGCAGAGGTGCACAGGAAGCTGTCTCACCGGAAGCCCAGTTCTGTTAGCCCCATACCTGTGCCTCCATGATTCATGCCGGATCTCCTTAAAGCGACGACCCTTCATCCATGGCGATTGTGCTGGTTAGCAAGACGTGATGGTACACTGGTATGCACTGCAGTTCAGATGGATTCCCCATCAGGCTCCTCAGGACGTTACAGTAGAACATTACAATAGGAAACTCCCAGTCTCACTCCTTCTCTGACATGCTGCCTTCAGAACACTCCTTGGTAAAAGCTGAAGACCCGGGTCTCATCATCAGGGTTGATCCTTTGCACAAAATCCGTGTCAGTTTGAAACAGAAGTTTATATTTTCTATTAGAAGTTTTTAGTCCATGGTGCAATCTCAGAGTGCACACTGTGTGGTCAGAACGAGACTTCAGTGGAGCGATCAAAAAACAAGAGCTGCGATGGAAGCTGATTGCACATGCCATGACCTGTATTGGTAGATTTTATTCTGGTAAGACATTTGATTTTTATGCACAGGTTCTCAGAACATTTTGATCACACCTCGTATTTGCACCCAATTTTACCTCTTTAAATCATGAGTGGATCATCCAACATCCCCACTTTTTCCATCCCAACTCTATGTATTTTTTTAAGTTGTATATATGATCATATGTGTTACTTGTCAGAAGCAAAGATAATTCCAGGATGCTGTTCTCAGTCTTTACAGTAGGTGACTGGCTGGGGACGTGTTGCACATTCCTTGAGCTCAGGACTTATTCCTTGTGTTGTTTTGTGGATGCTGTGTTAGGTACAGATGGTCTTGTATGTTTCATCCCTGATAGAAGTGGCCTGAAACCCTTTGCAAAGCTGGCTTAAATTGTATGCAAGGTACAATTTATCAGCAGCAACCTGTCGATTTCTGTCACTCGTTCTTTGTTTATTTGACCCAGATGTTAATGTTAAGAGACTAACTTACCCAAGTCTATTCTTGCCATCTCTCTAAGCATGTTTCTGTATTGAACACCAGTGGTTTTAATTGGTATATGAAATAGCTGCTGCTGAAGAAGGAATACCTCCTTTAAATTTTGCATGAGACATTATGACCTTATCGCGTGATCTCTACACCAAACACCACCTTACCATCTGGAGACCGTACACGAAGACAGAAGTGTGATGTGCAGGCAGCACTGGGACTAGATAGTTTGAATGACAAATCTGACTCATCCAATACGTGTATAATACAGCAGAAACTGTCATGTAGCGCGTCTAACTGGGCTGAGTATTTAACAGGACTTGAAGCGCTCAGACACACTGTTGTTTCATGCTGTTATTATTACAGGCTGCCATAAAACAACAACAACAAAAGAAAAATAGGACCAAAGTAAGTCCTCCAAGCACCAGGTGTTCAAGCACACAACTGTTTCACACACCCAAATCTGCTGACATGTTAACATGTACTGTATCTGTGAAATGGCCTGTGATTTTAGTTTGGATTTTCCTGTACCTCGGGCACTGACAGGGTCATTTCTGCATCTTTCTTAATTTTTTATAAAACGGATTCAGAAAATGATCACATGTCAGTAACTGTCAGAAGGACTACTTATTTTCCCAGAGTGTGACAGTATGTAGCATGTACATAGATGGTCCCCCACTCTGTATATACAAAAGTGTACAGGTTTGATACAGCTATTAACATTCTGGCTTTTTTTGGGGGGGGGGGCTTTTCTTCAGTCATAGCAATATTTCTGTAATCAATAAAGCCATGGTACTAGGATGGGTATGATTGCATTTGTGTTTATTTAGGAAGGCGTGAGAGACTGTGAATGATCAAACTGTGACATAACTTATCACAGGTTTAGTTGTTTTCTGTTCTACATGCTGGATCCAAAAGGCTGAAATGAAGTATCATGTTGCAAAATGAGTACAAGACACTGATGATTTTGATTGATTTTATTTTATGTTTTTCAATCAATGAAAGCCATAAAGGTTATATAGAAGGACAGACCTTAAGAAGCAAAGAGGATGTGCATACCTAATAAAAAATTAAAAATCATGTAATTACTTTTTTCTTGTCTTAAATCTTTTGAATATACGTTACTATCAAGTGTTCTTTACTATTACTTTCACAGGGTTTTAGCAGTTTGCTGCAAAACATAAATTTCTAGTTTAGCTTTTGCCTGTATTTCGTCATTGTGAAAATTAAGGTCCACTTTGTTAGCTACACCTATTTAACTGTTAGTTAATGCAGCTATCTAATCAGCCAATCACATAGCAGCGGCTCAATGCAATTATTCATGTAGACATGATCAAGACGACCTGTTGAAGCTAAACCGAGCATGAGAATGGGGGAAGAATGATTTAAGTGACTCTGATTGTAGCATGATGGGCTGGTCAGAGTAATTCACAAACTGCTGATATTTGTGTACATAACCATCTCTAGGGTCGACAGAGAGTGGTCCAAAAAAAGAGAGTGAGCAGCAGTTCTCTGGGAGAAAATACCTTGTTGATTCCAGATGTAGGAGGAGAATGGACAGGTCGCTTCAAACTGGCAACAGTAACCTAAATAACTGATTGTTCTGCCAGCTAAGAACAAGCAACAGTAACTCAGATACCAAGGCATGCTGAAGAGCGTCTCTGAATGCACAAAACACATTGAACGTTGAAGCAGATTGGCTACAGCAGCGGGAAACCACACCAGGTGCTACAGTTTGCACATGTTCACCAAAATTGACTGGAAAGACTTTGTCTGGTTTGATGTGTCTCGATTTCGTCTGCAGCATTTAGGTGTCAGGGCCAGAAACAACATGTAAACCTTGATTCATCCTGCCTTGTATCAACAGCTGATGTGCATAGTGGCAGTGTAACTTGGGGTCTGAGTGTATTCATCTTCTGATTACTGCTCACACCATGTCACAAAGCTCAGATCATATCAAACTGGTTTCTTGATCATGACAAGTTGACTGTACTCAGATGGTTTCAATCTAACAGAGAAACTTTAAGATGAGGTCTGATGGGAAATTCGCATTATGGATGTACAGCTGTCAAATCTGCATTAACTGTGTGATATTATCACGTCAATATGGACCAAAATCTCTGAGAAATGTTTCCTCTATGTTGAATCTATGCCACAAAAAATCAAACCACATCTGAAAGCAAAAGAGGCGTACCCAAAAAGTGTGCCAGTGTTTCAGCCAGGAGAGATAATTCAGGTCCTGACTGACAGACTGAGGTAAACAGAGGCTATTTTGCTCACATATGTGAGGTTTTATCTTTTTATCTTTTAAATAATGTCTGTAAACAAACTGTGAGTTGTGCAATCTCTATTCTTGATTAATGTAACTGTATTTTTATTCTTTAAAAGAGTTAAAAAGCAATGACAGCATCTACAATATCAATGACAGAGGACAAGAAAGATGTTGTGCTGTTGTCTGAATACATTAAAGGTTATGACAACAGGAAAGAAGCCTGCCTGAACAGGGAAATCTTTTTTTTATTATTATTATTACTGCTGCTTTTATTACTGTTATTTTTTATGCCTTAATACATAAGATTTGTGCAACCTTCTTGCTCATTGCATCATTTTTATTCTCTGATATTTTGTTTACATTTGTGAAAACCATCTTGCACTACATTGCAGAGGTTGATAATGAGAACAGTGAGACTATAATAATTTCTACACATTTCTATTCCAAAGATTTTTTAGGCACAATTTTCTTGGGGGTCTTGATGAAAAACAGAACTGTGGTCTCGTTCTCAGATGTTTGCGGCTCAGAGGACCAGGGGTCCCATCCACACAGAACCGCAGCAACAGTGTAGCCTCGAAACTGGAAACACACGATCATGGTTGGTCATGAACATACAGCATGAGCCTGAATTCCTCTTTTTCTTTGTTTGTATGTGTGAATTTAAGTGTACTTCAAACCAGCTTACCTGTCTGTTCATGAAAATGTATATGATGGGGTTGTAGACAGTGCTGCTTTTTGCAAAGTACACAGGAATGGTAGCGATGACAGGGTCAACATATAGACTGGAGTCTATCATGACAGCAAGTGCAAGCGCAGCATATGGCAGCCAGGTGACTAGGAAGGCCAGCACCATCACTACTATCATGCGTGCCACCTGCACCTCTACATGACTTGTGCTTCCTGTTTCAGATACCTGCAGCTTGGTTACCTAGGAAAAAAATTCAAGCGCAGAGGACTCCTTTATGTTTTCAGTACAATCAACAAAAATATATGGTGTGCGCAGCCTTTGTTGCTCACCTGGCGGAGAGTCCATAAAAGCCGCGAGTAAGAAACCATGACGACAGAAAAGGGCAAGGCAAAGCAAAGGAAGAAGAATATTATCATGTAGGACATGTCCCCAACATCACGGCTATGCCATTTAGGAGCACAGGAGGTTTTGACGCCCTCCAACTCAAAAGTTCCCCACCCGAACAGAGGTGGAGTGCTCCACACAAATGACCACACCCAGGACAGTACCACTCCAGCAACTGCATGCCTAAGGACAACAGAGATGGTGTCTGACATGCTTGGTACAGCAAGGAACATTCCCAAGTGAGATCTTGATGGTCACTGCTGTACCTGGTCTGGAAGAGGACCGCACCCATGGGATAACACACCACTACGTAGCGTTCAACAGAAATGACTGCTACTGTGCACAGACTTGCTATACCTGCAAGAAAAGACAGAATCATTTATGACTTTTGCTTTCTAAGTGTTGCATTTGTGCGCACTATTGAGACACCTGTCCTATACCTGAGTGCTACATTTCAAGGAAGAAATGCTAATCTTAATTCAATGACAATAACTATAGTTTTAAATTTTAGTTTCCACATTCGATTTTACATAAATACATGAAATACAGTACAGTAACTAAAAACAAAAGCTTCCCTTCAAAATATCTTAAATAATTCATTTTAAGTAACTATTTTTAAGCTCAAAAAGTTCAAAAACAGTCATGAGAAAATGAAAGTTTCCACAGACTGTGTGCATTTGAAATACTAAGCAAGGTCTGGACTTTGACCAGGTCACTACAGCACCTCGACTCGTTTCTTTTTCAGCCATTCTGTTGTAGATTTGCTGCTGTGCTTGGACACCTTTATCTGTGGCATGACCACATTGTGGCCAAGCTTTAGCTGTCAGACTGACATTTGTCTCAACAATGCTTTGGTATACAGCTGCAAAACAAATACAAATTATCACCTCTTCACCACTGTGATTAACAGCTGGTATGAAGTGTTTGTGCCAATATGCTATATTTGGTTTTCACCACTGTGCAATATATATGCAGACATGTCAAATATAGTCTTATCTGTCCAAAGGACACTGTTCCAGAAGTCTTGTGTTTTTGTGATTGTTTATTCAGATGCAGTTTTGCAAATCTTACATAAAATAACAAAATTCCCTTCAGGTGGTTTTACTTGAGGTACTTTTACTTGTACTAGAATACATTAAGGTATTTCTTCTTTTGTTTATGTGAGGAAAAAGAAAAAGTAGACTCACCGAAAAAGGAAACAGCAAAGGCTTCTAACACACAGCCCACACGTCCCAGGTTGAAGTATCCTATGGCGCTGGTTACTGTGGTGGGCAGGCCTCCAAACACAGCACAGCCCAGGTCACAAACAGCTAGGTTAACCAGAGCATAGCTGAGTGGCTGCCTCAGCTGTCTGTGCTTCACCGTCACCACAATCACCACGACATTGAGGATGATCCCTGCCGCAGAGAACACACCCATGATAACGGCCAGAATTGTGTAACCAGTCCGGGACAAGAGCTCCGTGTTGGCTGAGCTGTTAGATGATGAAGAGTTTCTGTGGAAGGCAGCACTCTCCATTTTGCTCTGTGAAGATCAGGAGAGGAATCTGGTCACAGTGTGAAAAACCTCAGTGATGCCTGGTAAGAAACAACAAACAAAAAAGTGTCAGATCCAACACGTCTAACTCTAAAATGGCCACATTGTCAGCAAGGCAAAGAAAGAGCAGGTTCAGGTATGTGTTTAGTATTTTTTTAATCATTTGGTAAATAATGTAGCAATCAGAACAACTACAAAACTGCGTGCTTGATATTCTGAGAGGGAAGCGAGGCCCTCTAAATAAGCCCAGTAAGAGGAGAGGAGGCCGCAGATGATTTGCAATTCTCAGAAAACAAAATCCGCCGAGCCGGATTGTGGAGAGAATAAGTCTGTCTGATAGCCTCTAAGACTGCACTTTCCATGATTGCTCAATTTGCAGCTGCTAATAATGATGCAAAACGTTCACACAGGATCGACCGATATGTCTACAGAATTCCCGCTGGTTTGTCACACATTTTGGAGCCAATAATGGAATAAACTGGTAATTTATGGATACCTATCCCTACCTTTTTATGTTCTCTTGTTAAAAACTAATGAGATGTTAGCCTGATTGAGTTACTTAATGACACAAAGAGTGGCTTATTTGAGAATGAGCTCAGTGTCAGTGTCTCTGTTTATAATCATCCTTAATACCTACACAACTCTGAATGAATGAATCCATAAAGCTAAAAAAGAAAAGGTGCAATAAAAGAAAAAAATGACATTGTGATTTGTTGAATGAAATTCACCTTGAAGATACATTTTCTGCCCAACAGATCTATGGATCCATTTAGAAAAAAGCACTTTACTAATCACTAATATATTGCTCCCCAAAACTACAGGGAGTGCAGAATTATTAGGCAAGTTGTATCTTTGGGGAATAATGTTATTATTTAACAACAACCATGTTCTCAATGAACCCAAAAAACTCATTAATATCAAAGCTGAATGTTTGTGGAAGTAGCTTTTAGTTTGTTTTTAGTTTGAGCTATTTTAGGGGGATATCTGTGTGTGCAGGTGACTATTACTGTGCAGAATTATTAGGCAACTTAACAAAAAACAAATATATACCCATTTCAATGATTTATTTTTACCAGTGACACCAATATAACATCTCCACATTCACAAATATACATTTCTGACATTCAAAAACAAATCAGCGACCAATATAGCCACCTTTCTTTGCAAGGACACTCAAAAGCCTGCCATCCATGGATTCTGTCAGTGTTTTGATCTGTTCACCATCAACATTGCGTGCAGCAGCAACCACAGCCTCCCAGACACTGTTCAGAGAGGTGTACTGTTTTCCCTCCTTGTAAAGCTCACATTTGATGATGGACCACAGGTTCTCAATGGGGTTCAGATCAGGTGAACAAGGAGGCCATGTCATTAGTTCTTCTTCTTTTATACCCTTTCTTGCAGCCACGCTGTGGAGTACTTGGACGCAGGTGATGGAGCATTGTCCTGCATGAAAATCATGTTTTTCTTGAAGGATGCAGACTTCTTCCTGTACCACTGCTTGAAGAAGGTGTCTTCCAGAAACTGGCAGTAGGACTGGGAGTTGAGCTTGACTCCATCCTCAACCCGAAAAGGCCCCACAAGCTCATCTTTGATGATACCAGCCCAAACCAGTACTCCACCTCCACCTTGCTGGCGTCTACTGGAGCTCTCTGCCCTTTACCAATCCAGCCACGGGCCATCCATCAAGACTCACTCTCATTTCATCAGTCCATAAAACCTTAGAAAAACCAGTCTTGAGATATTTCTTGGCCCAGTCTTGACGTTTCAGCTTGTGTGTCTTGTTCAGTGGTGGTCGTCTTTCAGCCTTTCTTACCTTGGCCATGTCTCTGAGTATTGCACACCTTGTGCTTTTGGGCACTCCAGTGATGTTGCAGCTCTGAAATATGGCCAAACTGGTGGCAAGTGGCATCTTGGCAGCTGCACGCTTGACTTTTCTCAGTTCGTGGGCAGTTATTTTGCGCCTTGGTTTTTCCACACGCTTCTTGCGACCCTGTTGACTATTTTGAATGAAACGCTTGATTGTTCGATGATCACGCTTCAGAAGCTTTGCAATTTTGAGACTGCTGCATCCCTCTGCAAGATACCTCACTATTTTTGACTTTTCTGAGCCTGTCAAGTCCTTCTTTTGACCCATTTTGCCAAAGGAAAGGACGTTGCCTAATAATTATGCACACCTGATATAGGGTGTTGATGTCATTAGACCACACCCCTTCTCATTACAGAGATGCACATCACCTAATATGCTTAATTGGTAGTAGGCTTTCGAGCCTATACAGCTTACAGTAAGAAACATGCATGAAGAGGATGATGTGGACAAAATACTCATTTGCCTAATAATTCTGCACTCCCTATATATGTGATTACATTTGCAATTTCTTGGCATGGTGAAAAACCTCAATGAATAATTCATCCTTTTTAAGAGTTAAGACACTAACTAACATTGGCTGTAACCTCATCAAAAGACAGTTTCCTGCACTGATCTGTTAAAGGCCATCAATAAGAACTTTTGGGTTATTGACCTTTTGACATAAATGAATACTTCTGTACTGTTAATGCAAAGAGATCTCAACATGTAATTCTCCAACCAATACCAATTCATTATTTCCATTGTCTGAGACCGAACTCTATCCTCCAAGAAGATAATGCTCGGCCTCACAGAATGAGGTTTATCAGAGACTATCTTCAGAGTTCAAGAGTGGGCATGATAGAATAGTGTGCCTGCAGTCCTGACATCAACCCCATTGAACACTTCTAGTGTCAACTTGGGTGTGCTGTTCGTGCCAGAGTCACCAACACTGACACATTGGCTGACTTGCAACAAATGCTGCTTAAAGAATGGGATACCATCCCACAGCAGTACGTGACCAAGCTGGTGACCAGCATGAGGAGGAGGTATGGTTCTCAGATGGTTCTTCCACATGCTACCAAATGAATAAACCATTAAATTGCTAATATGCCTCTTCAGACTTCAAAAATTCAATCCCATAAACTGCACCAAACAAGATTCAATAGCAGAATACTTTCTTTGGCATTGGGAGAGAAGATTTTGTAAGTTTTTCATGGGCACAGCCCACATAGTCAACTCTGCTGCTCAGCCCACAAATGCATTTTCCTTAAAAATTTAGCACCACTAAGGGGGAAATAAACAGGGTTTCCAACCATATACGATTTATTGCCAAAAAGTGTGTAATCGACCAATCACACCCAGATGATTGTGCAGAGAAATTAATTCCCCCTCCGCATCGCTAGAGGGGGCTAAAGCGCAGCTGTGGCTCTGCTTTTTTTACCCGGGTCACCGGCAGTGAACAGCACAGCAAACATGGCTACCTCCATGAGGAAAGCAGCTCACGATATCGAAGCGCGAAAACGGACCGAAGACGTGATTCTGTCGGAGGGGATCGACTTCGGCTCCTTGCTGCTGTCTCAGCCCGTGTTGGACGGACTGTCCGCCGCGGGATTTCAGAAGCCGTCTCCGATCCAGCTCAAGGCGATCCCGCTCGGCCGCTGCGGACTCGGTGGGTGCAAAACAAAACTGCGGGAGGGTCCACATGTGTGTGTGCTGGGGGCAGGAATATTAAAGTTTTCAGTGTATAAAACTTATAATTGATTTTTATAAGAAGAGCAACAAAATACCTTATGTATGCACGCGAAATAAAACCACTAACTTACATTAGTGCATTTACATACATCAGGGATCAGAATCTGTCTGTTAACCATCAGTTATAATTTGCATGTCTGCTCAGATACATGACTGGCACTATAGTTAAGATTTTTTTTTAATTATTTTTATTATTATTTTTTACAGCTTTTTAAAGTATTTTAATTTTTTGTTGCAAAGCATACTGGTCGTAAATATTTAGACGCACATGATTAATGTGATGTGACATATTATGCCTCATAAATCCATCTATCCATTCATTATCGTCCGCTTATCCAATGCATCTCCTCATAAATATGAAATGAAAAAATACTTTTATCACTATTATTACTGCAATCAAAAAACACACTCATGGGCAAATTTATGCAGATTATTAATCTAGGACATAAAACTTGGCTGTGGGTAATCAGGTAGCGCATCTACTAACTGGGAGGTTGGCGGTTCGATTCCCAGCTCTTCTAGGCTTATTAAAAGAACGTAATGTAAAAAGGTTATTACATTTGATATCATGGCAGTAGAGACAAACCATCGTGTATCTGATCTAAAAATCTGTTTGTACAATAGCTGGGTGTGTTAGAGTTAGGTTCGTTAGTATTTGGACACTGATGCTTTTTTTGTGAATTTTAAATCAAATTGTCAAAATGTATTTGAAGGGAAAACGTTCAGCTTTAATTCAGAGGTTTGACAAAAGGATGAGCAGTAAGACCCCAGACCCTAAACAGCTGGTTTAGGAAGAATTCCCAATTTCTTTGCCCTCTGAAACTCTCAGGTTGCTTCTGCTGTATGCTCTGAGTCATTTTCCGTTTGCATTGTGATGCAGTGCTCCATCAGTTTTGCAGCACTTGGAGGAATCTGAATTCCCCTTTACACTTCAAGGTACATCCTGCTCCTGCTACCAGCATGCACATCGTCAGTAAACACTCGAGGTCCAGATTCACAGGCAGCCATGCATCCCTGCGATTTCACAGTCGTAGTTTGTAACATTAACTCCGCCCTCTTTGACAGATGGTGCCTCTGATTCTCGAACACTTAACGCAATACTTCTGTTGAACCCCTTGAAATAAGTTGAAAGTCACATCTTCATCAAATCAAATCAAATCACTTTTATTGTTACATCACATGTGCAGGTACATTGGTACAGCACATGTGAGTGAAATTCTTGTGTGCGAGCTTCACAAGCAACAGAGTTGTGCAAATACAATAATGTAAACAAGCAAAATACAAGAATGGCCACATCTGAAACTAATAAATATAATAGTATATGCATTTCTAGATGTGTATACTAAATATTTTTCTACGTGTGTGTGTACACATATTTTACAAATTAAATAGAGTAAACAATAAATAAAATATATAAAATAAAATATACAGAGTGAGACATGTGCAAAACAGTGGCGTTACAGTAGTGAAGCTGAGGTGTCTATGACGTGTTCAGCAGTCTGATGGCCTGGTGGAAGAAGCTGTCTCTCAGTCTGCTGGTACGGGACCGGATGCTGCAGAACCTCCTTCCTGATGGAAGCAGTCTGAACAGTTTATGGCTGGGGTGACTGGGGTGGACATGAAATCCACTGTGAGGTGTACACAGGAAAAAAGAACTTTGTGTAACTGTCCGAATATTTATCGACTAACTGCAGAGGTCTGCTATATTATTAGTTTAGAAAAGGGTTTAATATGGCCCCGCAACTTCAGCTGTACTCCAAAAATTGTTTTTACTCTGAATAATTCAATCATGTATTACATTTTAACGTAGTTCCTTATAAAAATTCTTCATACAATATCAAATTACACATTTTCAGCTTCTATCTGTTTCAATAATATGTATTTCATCTGTGTAATATTCTGGATATTCATAACTGAGCTATATATTAGAGAGTTTCTTCTATTTTGTGAACTTTTAGTTCGGTCTGTTACCGTTGTTATTGTCTTGGAGCAACTGTAACCACATAATTCTTTAGGGAATAATAAAGGATTCTGATTATGATATCTGATGAGTCCAAATCTAGTTGAATTACGAAACAGTAGAGCAGCTTAGCTTGGGTTAAAAATGCTCATCGGATGGACTCCTTTTTAATCCTCATAGCTTTCATGGTATTGGAAATGGTGGAGAAAACATTATTACTATTTTTAGGAATATTGCTTTTGTTTTGTTCAATAATCACAGAAATGTATTGTTAGAAAAATCAAGTTTCCATCTACTGTAGCTGTACTACACTCAGACTGTACACTGACTTTTGTTGTGAACTTGCCTCAAAGCCGTGGTCAAATGTGAACAAATCTTTTAGTTCTAAAGGATATTTAAAAGTATTTTATTTTGAAAAGCTCGAAACAACTACATTAGTTGAAAAGTGGTCATTTTTTTTAAATCATTTGCAGAGAAAACAGTTTAAGTACTTTAGTCCTTCTTTTGACTATCATAGATACCACAACTGTTCATCATGGTGCTAAATCACTCTTGGGGATCAAAAGCGTTTATTGCTTTTAAACATTTTACAGCCTTTACGAGGTACAAATTCAGAATAGTTGCTTTCCACTTGGAGGTTGCCCGTGTGTTGAAAAAGCTCTCGGCTGCAGCGGTGATGCAGAATGTGCTTAACTCATTCACTGCCATTGACGTCTATAGCCGTCAATGGCAGTGAATGAGTCAATGGGTTTAACTCATTCACTGCCAATGGCTGGCAGTGAATGAGTTAATTTCATTGTACTTGAGGTAAACACTTGTTAATTTAAACCGTGGTGGGAGACAATTGATTTGATGCTGAGGATTAGGCAGCAGTACTTCACCCAGTCATGGTAATTAACTGCTGATGCCAAAACTGTCATTTGCCAGCCCTGTTGTGCATCGCTCACTGAGTCTCTTCTTTTAGATTTGATTGTGCAGGCCAAGTCTGGGACAGGAAAGACATGCGTGTTCTGCACCATCGCCCTGGACTCTCTGGTCCTGGAGAATCCTTCAACCCAGGTCAGTGTAATATTTGATTATGAGGATATGACCTACGTTTGCTCTCGGACGGTTAAAGTAAAACATCATCAGAAGAGGGAAAGGGGAAGTTTTATTATTTAATCATTTCATGACCAGCAGATGGCCTTCTGCTGAATTTAAGCTGCTTAGTGTCAAATGCATGAATGAAAGGGAAGAATGATTGATAAAGACGAGGTACACCTGGTCTTGTAGAACAAATGTAATCTTATTAGCTCTGGGGTCTTACTGTTCATCCTTAATCTTCTCCCAATCGAGTATAAGCCTTTTTGTTTTTTTCATTTTGGACACTTTTCCCTCCTGCAGGTTCTCGTGCTGGCTCCGACACGTGAGATAGCAGTGCAGATCCACTCGGTGGTCATGGCCATAGGCTGTGCCATGGAGGGCCTGGAGTGCCATGTTTTCATTGGCGGCAGGCCTGTGAGTCAGGACAAAACCCACCTGAAGAAGTGTCATGTAGCCGTGGGCTCACCTGGTAGGAACCCGGGATAGTAGTCGGCAGTGCCACGTCACGTAATTGCCACGCCGCTGTTGTTTTTGTTCGGTAACAGTGTTCCGGTTGTGTGCTCAGGTCGCATCAAGCAGCTTATCGAGTTGGGCATGTTGTCAACGGCCAGCATCAGACTGTTTGTTCTGGACGAGGCAGACAAGCTGCTGGAGGAGGGCAGCTTCCAGGAACAGATAAAGTATGAGGATACAATTTCTGTGATTATACTCCTATTAAATGAGCAGCAGGCCGCTGTAGCGAGCAAGCAGTACATTTAGACTGAAGCCGTTTATATATCGTGTCGTAACCACATTTACAAACCAACATAACCTAAAGTTCACCCATCATCCTGGTCCTCTTTAGCTGGATCTTCTCCTCGCTGCCTGTGAACAAACAGATGCTCGCACTCTCCGCCACCTACCCAGAATCCCTTGCTCAGCACCTCACTCGCTACATGAGAGAGCCCACCTTTGTACGGCTAAATCCAAGTGATATGGGCCTGAAAGGTAAGACCCACTTTAATAAATGGAAAAGATAAAGATTCCTGAGTTTTGGCCTCTCTTGACATTTTCTAATGTATTTAAATTGCTGTCATAGCAACAGAGACTCTGCATAATAAGACTGCATGGATAACCAAGTCTGCAAACTGACATGTTTGATGGGATTATTTCCTGACAGAAGATTCTTGGGGGATGAGATATGATTGACAGTAATAAGGCTAAGTTAAAAACACTCTTCTCTTCCACAGGATCCTATTTTAAGCTCTGTGCTTATTTTGAGTGAATGTCAGAAAATGGATTTATCTGTAGCTCAGAACTCGAGCCTTTTAATTCACACACATCACTGACAGAGCACGTCCTGCTCGAAGGACCAAAGTTGTTAGGTCAGGTTGAATTAATGACAGCATGTATGTCGTCCTTGTGTCGCCCCCTGTCAGGTCTGAAGCAGTATTACAAGCTGGTTCAGTCCCATCCGTTACCTCACAAGGTTTTTGAGGAGAAGGTGCAGCACTTGCTAGAGCTGTTTAGTAAAATCCCCTTCAACCAAGCGCTGGTGTTTTCAAACCTACACACACGGTATGTGATTGCATTTAATGCCAAGAAAAAGTATATTTCTTATACTTGTTTTATATAGAATGCATTAGATCTGAGGATTAATTATTTTAAAAAAAGCTTTCTCAAATGCTAATGTGATGAATTGCTACCACAGGGCTCAGCACCTGGCAGACATCCTGTCCTCCAAAGGTCTGCCTGCTGTTTGCATCTCTGGTAAGACTGCTTTATGTAATGTAATGTTAGGATGAGTCAATAAAAATGGTAATACTGTGAAAAATCAGGTAATTGATTTGAGGCATTTCTATACTGGTATACCAGCTGCTTTTGAATTTTAGACATTGGAATTCATTCATTTCTTGACTTTATTTCTTTGGCCAGGTGGTTTATGATTTGCAGTGTTGCCTGGCAACGTTTCAGTGCACATATTTAAAATGACCTTCATACAGTGTTGTGAATGTGTGTATTTTTAATGCTTCCGTGCCAGCGACTTTCAGTTGACGTTATCAGATTTAATGAGGTGTCGTGTCTGGCCTCTGCAGGTGGTCTGAGTCAGGACCAGAGACTGGAGGCAATGTCAAAACTGAAGCAGTACCAGTGCAGGGTGCTCATCTCCACTGACCTGGTGAGATGCAGAAACCTTCCATCTTTCCACACGTCTACGTGAATTTTTCGAAATCATTTTTCTGTTAGCCTAATAACTTTGAGTAATCTTTGTGTTTCACAATTTCAGACTTCAAGAGGTATAGATGCAGAGAAGGTCAACTTGGTGATAAACCTGGATGTGCCGCAGGATTGGGAAACTTACATGCACAGAATTGGACGAGCTGGACGTTTTGGTTAGTGTGCAGCGCTGCTTTAGAGGCAGCGAGAGCAAGCATTGTTTGACATTCAGCATTTTCACCTTGTCACATCACCAAGTCAGGCAGCACAGGTGGCTAATGGCACCGCAGCAGGAAAATATGTTTGAAGAGAAATTGCATCATTTTTTTAATTTTTTTGTAGAGTTGATTCTCTCTCCATCTCACATTTTGGAAGAAACACTATTCTTTAGATGTGCAATTAGCTTGATGCGAAACACAGACTAGAATAGCTCCGGGAAAAATATTACTTAGAGTTTACAAATTGATGAAAAGGTTAGTTATGCTGCTTTCAATTTGAGTGGCCATTCACCGGCACATTGTCAACATTGTCCTAAAATAAAATAAAAAAATGTTGCAAAGCTTTTTCTTCTGGTGGCATATGTCTTTGACCTAGACTGATGTTTTTTTTATAAATAATTTAGCAAATTCTTTTCTCTCTGAATCAATAGCATTTTTGACCCAACCACCAAAGGCAGAACGTTCCCAGTCATTTGCATTTAATTGCATTTAACTTTTTTCCCCAGAATTGAGGTTATTCAATCTTAGCTTCTGTACGCTCTCTAAGTGCACGTGTGTTTGTGTGCAGCTGCCATCCCATTATACGCGACTCTTGCATTAATCTTTATCCCTTCCTGTTATTTAAGTGGGTCCTCATCCAGATTACATTTTGCTTGTAGGCACTCAGGGACTGGCTGTGACCTACTGTTGCCATGGCGAGGAGGAGAACAAGATGATGGCCATCGCTCAGAAGTGTGGCCTTAGTTTGTCTGCGCTGCCATGTGAGTCCCTGTTCACGTCTCTGTGGGGCTTTTACATGCAGCACGCACAACTTTTCTCTTCATGTCTACTTTTGATTCAATATTAATCGGTAAAAGTCATTCCGGTCTCATCTGTCTGCTGTCATTTTAGCCACGATAGAGCCCAGGTTGATGGATGAGCCGTGCGACTGGGATGTCTGCACTGAAGCGTCCACTCCAGACCCGGTATCCCGGCTGTTTCCCAGAGCAGAGAAGAAAAGACGTGCAAAGCCTGACGTCTCTGTGTCTGATTGCATTGAGGATCGAGCTGTGGAGCCCGGCAGTCAAAGAAAGCCAGAGAAGAAGCATCCAACGCCCAGGCGAGAGGCAGTCTGTGAAGAGGATGCTAGAAAGATATCTTCCACAGAGGATACTCTGCCTGCTCAGGTGACACAGACTCGAAAAGAGCTCCAAGACAGTCTGCCGAAGATCCCTCCTCTCAGCTCGTTTAAGCACTGCAGGTCAAAGTTTGTGACCTTTGAGGAGGCCGAGCGGGACTTCCAGGACTTCATCACTACAGGTCCGGGGAGATCGGTGGAGATCATCAGAGAGTTCAGAGGCAGAGAGGATGGTGAACCCAGCGATCAGAATGGGCATAAGGAGTATCTTACACTTGATGATGATGGAGCGCAAATGTTTACACAAAATGTCGAACGGCTTAAATCTAACTTTTCACCTCCAAGGTCCATCTCTGGTTCTTCCAGTTCTGAATCTGACATGGAAGATGATGCGACACTGGAAAGTTCAAATGAGACCACAGGAGCTGAGAACAGAGCTGTCACTAAGCCTCAGATTGCAATGACACATCCACCTTCTCCACCCACACAACAAGCAAGCCCCACCAAACCCAAGGCTTATACTCCTCCTCCACTCAGAAACTCTGACCAGACACTGTGTGCAACACGTGGGAGAGCTGTGCCTCCTCCCGATAGCCGGGAATCTGCATTGAGCATTAAATCAGGCAGGCGAACCAATCAGACAGCTCCGGCCCCAGCACGCCGAGAAGAATCAAAAAAGATGAAAAAAGAGACTGAAAAACAGAAAGAAAAGATGGAAAGGGACCGGAAGAGGGAGAAGAAGGAAGACGGAGATTGCACTGACAAAGAGGACGAGTGGTGTGCTGAAACGTACTGGAGAGCCTGCTACAGCGCCTGGAATGATTACTACGCCTCCATGTCCCCGTTTCAAGAGCAAGGCTACCAAAGCTACTATAATGTAGCCTACAACTGGATGGCAGCTTATCGTATGAACGCCGTCTACATGGAAGAACTGATGAGAAAATGAGTTGTGGATACCGTGACCAGGCTTTGCTTTTTTTTTTCTTTTTTTTTTTAAATCATCCTGTTTTCCAAACATAAAGTGTCTTTACTGCGCCACTTGATTCATATTTGCACTTTGGCTAGTATACGTTTTTTCCCCCATAACATGTTGGTGTCATAAATACTTTTCTAATAAATTACACACGTTTTGTTTTTTCCCAGTCAAGTTGTGATGTAAAAAGTAAATTTCAAGTGCAGTACTGTGTTGGCCTCTGTGCGTCTCTCCTGACGGTATGCCCTCTTAGACTCACTGCAGTATTCTGCTCTAAAATGGATTTGAAGAGGATTACCTGATAGTTCTTGACTACATAAGATAACCTTTATTAGTCCCACACGTGGGAAATTTGTTTTGTCACAGCAGGAAGTGGACAGTGCAAAAGTTATGAGGCAAAAATTAGGATACAATAAGAATAAATACAGTACACA